TCTCCTGGTGATTGGTCCAAAGTCACCCAGTCGGATTTCATGCCTAAAGCGGGACTAGAACTCCCAGTCTCCTGGTGACTGGCTCAAAGTCACCCAGCGGGATTTCATGCCTAAGACGGGACTAGAACTCACCATCTCCTGGTTTCTAGTTTGATGCCTGAATCATTAGACAAAACTGACTCTATATAACATTTACATAGTGCTTTTGCTACAAGATGTGTTCATTTATTTATAATGACAGGACCCTTTCCTCTTATTATACAATGGCATTATTTCTGCATATACAATCTTTCATCAATCTTTAATTTAAACTTCTTGTAAACATATAAGGAAAATATTCCGACGCGATCATGCTGCTTCTTTTGATATTTTATACATGGAAATTCAGGCTACCCGATCCGATCTTCCAAAAATTCTGAGCTGTCTTTCTTGGCTGCCATTCTCCCTGGAACGTTTTAGGTTCCTCCCCTGCCCCCTTGATATTTTATTTCTCTAGATTTTTAATCATTGAACAAACCACTGTTTCTGTGTGACATTTTGTGGTTAGCAGCCTTGGCTATTTGCCGAGTAGCAATTCAGAGCATGAAATCAGTGCTCCTCCAACTTGTCACCTTAAAGATATGTGGACCAACTCCCAGAATGCCTTAACTTAGCCAACCATGGGAATTCCAAGAGTTGAAATCCACCCACCTTCAAAGCTGACAAGTCGTTTTAACTTCTCCCTTTATTTTCCAACCATTTATAAAATAAATCCCATATCATACAATACAAAATAAAGGAAGAAGTTAAATGAATATAGTTACAATGATATGATATATAAGGTTGAGTAGTTTTTAATATGAATGTAACCCTAATAAGAATTCTATTCTATTGAATTCTACCGTATAGTGCAATATTAATGCAATATCAGGGATTTTCAATTCAATGTATAAAATGTGAAGTATATAAAATGGGTGTTTGTGTTTATTTTCATAGTCATAATGTACACTGAAGAAGGTGTTTAATTTCACTGTATGAGGTGCAATGACAATAAACTAAACTAAACTTAAAAAAAACTAAACTAAATTTTCTGACAGTGAGGACAATCCACCCATGGAACAGAAGTTGCCTTCAGAAGTTGTGGGAGCTTCATCCCTGGAGGCTTTCAAGAAGAGACTGGACTGCCATCTGTCAGAAATGGTGTAGGGTCTCCTGCTTGGGTGGCGGGTTGGACTAGAAGACCTCCAAGGTCCCTTCCAACTCCATTATTCTGTTGCCAAGGTTTCTGTTTTGTGCTGGTGCTCAGCTGTGCCTTTAAGAACAAACGACCTAATTTCTTGGGGGGTGGGGGGAAATAGTTTCCTCACTTTTTCTAGGCTGAGAAAAAATAACAACATGTACCTGTTGCCTGTTGCCAACCTGTTCTTAAAGGCACACATGTATTCCAAGCGCCTGAGAACTGGCAAGGCGCAGCCTGCATTTTAATGATGCATCCCACACGGGATGAGTTCCAGTTTTGAGGACAAGCCCAGGGGCAGGAAGGGTTGCTTTCGGGAAGTTTACTAATTGCAAGCGCTGATCCTTAGCCAACCCACCAAAAAATGCAGAAGTAAATGCTGTGGAGCATGCAAACCAAATGTGGGGAAAGGTTCAGTCGCGATCAAGATTAAGAAGTCAGAATATGGCAATTCGATCTCAAGGGAGGAACAGTTAACAGAATAACAGAGTCGGAGGGAACCTTGGAGGTCTTCTAGTCCAACCCCGTCTTGCTCAGGCAGGAAACCCTATCCCATTTCAGACAAAGGGTTATCCAATATCTTCTTTAAAAACTTCCACTGTTTGGAGCATTTACAACTTCTGGAAGGAAGTTGTTCCACTTATTAATTCACTGCCAGGAAATTTCTCCTTAGTTCTAAGTTGCTTCTCTCCTTGATTAGTTTCCATCCGTTGCTTTTTCTCCTGCCTTTAGGTGCTTTGGAGAAGAGGCTGACACCCCTCTTCTCTGGGGCAGCCCCTCAAATACTGGAACACTGGTGTCATGTTCCCTCCTCATCCTCCTTTCTTTGGTTCAAGTCATTCAATCAGCCAGCCGTGTCCGCTTCAAAAGAATACACTTTAGTTCTCCTTCCCCCTCTCTCTTTCTCTCACGACAGTTATAAGTGTGAAAAATGATCACAAGTCACTTTTTTCAATGCCATTGTAACTTTGAACAGTCACTAAATGAACTGTTGTAAGTGAAGGACTTCCTGTATATTTACAGTATATCTATATCTATATCTCTGTCTCTACCTATCCATCTTCTTTCTCATATCTCTATTTCTCTTATCTCTATCTCTTATCTCTATTTCTATCTCTATCTCCACCATATCTCTACCTCTTATCTCTATCTCTATTTCTTATCTCTATCTCTATCTCCACAGTATCTCATCTCTATCTCCTATCTCTATTTTTCTTATCTCTATCTCTATTTCTATCTCTGTCTCCATCATATCTCTATCTTCACATATCTCTATCTCTTATCTCTATCTCTATTTCTTTTTCTATCTCCACTGTATCTTTATCTCTGCTGTATCTCTTATCTCTATCTCTGTCTCTGTCTCTATATCTAGCTAACACACACATATATAATATTCATATGTACATATCAAGCCCATATATGTGTTGGTGGTCCAAAAGAGCTGTTCCAAAATGCTAGGAACAGCTGAGATGCTATGAAGAACCCTCAAACTCCGAGGTAGAAGAGGACCCAAGAATGAGAAAGACACAGGCCAGAAAAGAATATTTTTAATATACGAATATCACCGCTTCACCAAACAAAGTCAATGGGAGAAACCAGATTTGCTTAACAACCTTCCAGTTGCCTCTCATAACTTCACAGCTTCACAACCGTGGCAAGAAAGGTTACAAAATTGGCCATGACTCACTTATCAACTAGCTGGTTTAGCAATGAAAACTCTGGTCCCCATTTTGGTTGTAAGTCGAGGACTATCTGTGTTCCTTGAACCTGGAGGCTGTGCAACCTCTGCTTTCCTTTCCTTTCCACGGTGAGGTATTCTCTCAGTTGAAATGTGAGAATCTCATCTTTTACCCAAATCTCAAACATGAATTTGTAACCCTTTTAGGCTGTCTTGCCATTTGACCCAGCTTGGAAATTTCCCAGCCTGAAGAGAATGTCCCTTATCCTTTCACCTTATTTTGAGAAGGATGCTACAAGCGGTCAAAGATAGATGCCCCATCTTTAGATAAGAGCCGGCCTTTCTTTCAAACTCTCTCTCACACACACACACACCCCAAACTCTAGAATGAAAACAAACCAGTTTCGATGGGATATTATCGTTCGCAAGAGGGTGTAGGGCAAGGGCCTTCAAACTTGACAGCTTTAAGACTTGTGGACTTCCAACTCCCAGAATTCCTCTTCCAGTCATGTTAGCTCAGGAATTTTGGGAGTTGAAGTCCACAAGTCATAAACTTGCCAAGTTTGAAGACCCTTGGTGTAGAGAAACAAGGAGAATATCAGATGAGAGATGTCTACAGATGTGCGATGGGATTAAATACACTTCCTCTTGGAGATAGAAAACCAACATTGGTGAAATCCTCAGAAGTCCTCACAATTTTCTGGCTGTCTCAGAGGAGCCCATCTTCTAGGCCGACCATCGTGTCTCAAAGCTGAGGTCAGATGGACATCTGTGCAAGATCCACACACGCACACACACACACACACATCTGGAGAGAATAAGGCTTTTTCTCTCTATGTGAATTATTTGGGGTCCTCAGAATTTTTAGAAGAACTGCACAATCACAGAATAACAGAGTTGGAAGGGTCCTTGTTGGTCTTCTAGTCCAACCCCCGATCAAGTCTATATTGAGTGACAGCCCCGGCTATCCATTTCCTCTTCCATCCCTCTAGATCTTCTAGACCGTGGTCCACAGTTTGGGTGAAAGATGTTGGCCAACTGACTGCCCAACTCTGTGTGACTCCATGCCATCAAGAGACAGTCTTGGGTTCAATAAAATATGGATTTAACAATAGGTTAAAGCTATTTGTATTCGCAGTCTGGCAGAGAAAGATTCTTTGATCCCACAAAGATAGAAATATTTGGATTACAGTATTTTGTTTTTGTCCCAATGTTTTTGGATGGGTCATTACCTGAGATGACCCAAGAATCAGGAATCTCTCAGCAATAGTATCATCTCTTGATTTCAGTGTAAACGGACTTCTCACTGTAAAGTAAGTCCTAAAAAAAGGAGAGAAAGAAAAATGCAATAAATATTTTTATATTTAATAAATATAAATAAAGTTGCACACCACTGGCATTGACAAAATCACCACCAGTCAATTGCAAAAGGCAGCTTTATTTTGATCAGCTTACATCCTGAGATGACAACTTTTAACACCATCAAACAACAACAGCTGCCTATTCCCAGATGATTGAGAAGGACTCGATAGGTGGATAAAAATAAATCCAATCTAAACATCTTATTGACTGTGCAACCATCAATAACTTATAGGGATCTGCTGGAAAATTGGTTGAAAGATTTCTTAACAAGCCTCAACCTCTGGCTCCTTTTCATCTCAAGTCCAATGTTGTGATTATTATAAATTAAGCCGCATGGAAGATCCGCTTAGGATAATCACCTGAATTGGAACGTACCGTATAGTTTGAATCCAACTTGGGGCAAGTCCCTGGAAGAGGCTGCAAAAGAGAAAAATATACAACCATGGTAGAGGGGGGAGGGATCCCTTAAAGCTAGAAAACCAAGGTTCTTTTTTTAAAAAAAACAAACTTTCCCTTCCTTTTTACTTTGCGTTTTTAAGAGAAATGTTAAAGATCCATTAAACCGAGCAACAACAAAAATAAATCAAGGTGGCAGCCACATGGTACAATTGAAGCACCACCCATTTTATGTAAATTGCCTGTGCAAATTTTAAAATGGGTGGGGCTTTGATGTCCCTGTTTGACTTTACATGGAGACATTTTGTGAAGGCTCTTTTTTGGCAGTTAACAGGGAGGGAGGGAGGGAGGGAGGGAGGGAAGGAAGGAAGGAAGGAAGGAAGGAAGGAAGGAAGGAAGGAAGGAAGGAAGGAAGGAAGGAAGGAATCCTACTCCCACAAAGAAAGCAGGAGCAAATCCTAAAGCCATCCATGCCTAGAGAACAGTGTTTGTCAACCTTGGCAACTTTAAGGCTTGTGGATTTCAACTCCCAGAATTCATGCTGGCTGGGGAATTCTGGGAGTTGAAGTCCACGAGTCTTAAAGTTGCCCAGGTTGGAGAGCTCCGCTCTAGAAAAGTGAAAGATCCAGGTTGAACTCAAAACCAGAAGTTGCTCTTTGCATTAAAGTCATCTGTTCCTCCAATGGGGGGGGAAAGGGGGACATCAGTCTGTGGAGCCTTCTTTTCCAAGAAACATAGGTCCATCTTCTACTCCAGTGAGGTCACCAATTCGAGAGTCTGGCCCATGTTGATTTGGTCCATCTCCTGAGCCCTCGACCTCCTTCACTGTTCAACCTCAGTAGAAACCAAGGAGAACACAAGTGGAGACTCACCGGAAGAGGGGCAGAGATCGGGAGCAGATCCTTTGGTGTTTCCACTGCAGAATCCACTACCTCATAAATGGGTTCTTTGTCATCTGGAAAACAGAAGGAAAGGGTGTGATGTCATCACTAACCCACCACTGTATAGTGCAATATTAATGCAATATTGTGGAATTAAATGGCTGAGAGTAATGGGGTATTTACATTTTTAAATTGCATAGAGATGATTGTATGGTTGGTTGTGTTTAGTTTAAATTTTTTTTTTTTTTCTTTTTAGTGGTGTTTGTCCAGTTTTTACTTTGTGGAAGAGCACCTCATTTCGTTGCACCCGCTTGCGAGTGTAATGACAAATAAATTCTGATGTCTTATGTCTTATGTCTTAATATCAGAGGGTTTCAATTCAATTGTATAGAATGCGAAGGATGGGTGTTTGTGTTTTATCGTTATCGTTGTAATGCACACTGAAGACGGCATTTAATTTTGTTGTACGAGGTGCAATGGCCATAAAGTTAACTAAACTAAACTAAAACTAAACTACCTGTAGCTAAAACTAAACTACCTGTAGGTATTACCATGTTTAGATGGAGGTGACTTTTTTACTCCTAGACCTAGATCCAATTTTCCTGTTACCCTGAAAGAGAGAGAGAGAAAGAGAGATTGAGTTGGATGAGAACGAAGGTTGGGTAACATTTCTAACTTCTTGCACATTTCCATGGAAGTGCAGATACTCATCGTTGGTGGAGGGCACTCCTCCCTCCTGGAACCAAACCTGAAAGGCATGATTCTCTCTCTGACCTGAATCCCAGCAATGTTTGCCCAACAACCCCCCCCCCCCCCGTAATTTCAGATTTCAACATTTGGAGCAGAGGTGGTATTCAGTCGGTTCTTCTGACCAGTTCTGGAGAACCGGTAGCGGAAATTCTGAGTAGTTCGGAGAACCGCCAAATGCCACCTCTGACTAGCCCCGCCCTCATCTATTCTCCGCCTCCAGAGTCCCAGCTGATTGGCTGGTTCTTCTTTGGTTGCCCTGCACAGGAGAACGGAGCTGGAAAGCAGGTTAGTGGGGTGGGGAGGGAATGGGGATTTTGCAGTAACCTTCCCCTGCCACGCCCACCAAGCCAAACCACGCCCACATAACTAGTAGTAAAAAAAAATTGAATCCCACCACTGATTTGGAGACCTGATTAGAATCATGACCGAACTAGGGAGGGGAGGTAAGAGGGGAGAGAGGGGGGAGGGAAGTAGGAAACTCCTACCCTGTGCTGGGTTCCGATTTCCGTAAAACAAACCGGTAAACCATCACGGCGATGAGTGCCCCGCACAGCAAAACGCCAACCAGAACCCCAGCCACAATCCAGCCCAACTTCGAAGGTTCTTTGGGAACCTCCTTAACGGGGGAGGTTCCTTTTCTTGTTGTGGTCACCGTTGTTGCTGTTGTCGCCGTGGTCAGAGGTGGTGCTAGAATAGAAATAAGGATGGAGGGATCAGGGTTAACCATTCCTGACCCTGTGCTAGCCAGTGAGGCTTTGAAGTTGTTTTAGATTGGGCCTCTTAGCTCACCCATCTTTCAATGGCTGGAGCTCAGCTAAACCTTCCTGGATATCTACCAGCTTCTCACCAGTTAGGTGAGAATTTTGGTTGCATCTGAGATTCAGTGTTGTTCAACCTCAGCAATTTTAAGATGGGTGGACTTCGATTTCCCAGAACTCCCCAGGAAGCATGCTTTAAGACGAGTGGACTTCAACTCCCTGAAGTCCCCATCTAGGGTATTTTAAGATGAGTGGACTTCAATTCCCAGAATTCCCCAGACAGATAGGTGGATTTCAAATCCCAGAATTCCCCAGACAGCATGCTTTAAGATGAGTGGACTTCAACTCCCAGAA